AAATATCAAATTCTAACCGGATGCATACTAATGCATCAATTTGAGAGTGATTACAATTGAAAATTTTAACTGAGTTCTCCTCGTTTTCTAAAAATCCTCATAAATTCCTCATCCCTAGAAGACTTAACAGTTTTTAAAATAATACAAAGACATCATCATTAATAAATAATTTAATTATGCGTGCATCAACACATTTATTATATTGAATTCACAACACATTTATTATATTGAATACAAAAATATAACTTAGAAATCATTTTAACATGACAGATAAAATTGTGCTTCCTAAAATATTGTGACAATCCTAACACAAAATTCATACTAACATAATCCTAAGATTTACAATATATTATTATTTCTTTTCCTAGAGTCATTTAGTTCTATGTTGTGATACTATTTGTGCTACATTTCCTCTTAAACATGGCAAATAATAAATATATATATATGGACTCCAAATGGCGATTTCCGTCATCAATGATTCAGTTGCGCTCGAAGGAAAAGGGCTCGCACCTCATCGCCTTTGTTTCGACCTTCACCTACTGCGTTTCGTCGTCCCTCAGCTTCCGTCGTTTCGCGTCTTCAGCTTTGTTTGTTTCGACGCCGAGCTTCTGTCGGCTCGCGGCTTCGCGTCTCCCTGCTTTCCCTCTTCGAGTTTTCTGCTACGTCCGCGGCAGGTGGACTCTCTCCCGGCTTTGATGGGTGTGCTCCCTCCTTCAGTTGAACCTGACAAAGCTTCCTTCGACCATGTTGTGAGTAATCATCTGGTGGAGTCGGCTGTTGTCTTCTCCTCAAGCTATAAGAAATGTCGCGATGGTACATGTGATTGTCCTTTTGTTAAGAAGGGAAGTACGAAATGTGAGAAAACAACACTCTTTTTCTCTGATTTAGAAATTTCAACTTTGATTGAGAAATGCAAGTTCACTCTTATTGAAAAACTTCAGTGGGGGCACCCATCTATGAAAGTTATCAGAAAGAGTTTTGATGATCTCAAACTAATAGGCAAGTGGAAAGCGAAATTCTTTGATGAGAGATGTGTTGATTCAGTTAACCACGACCAAAGACTACGCTCGGATTTTCTCTAAAAAAATATTTTAACGTTGCAGGAAAGTCAATGAAGTTATTCAAGTGGTTTCCTGATTTCGACCCAAACCATTAACCTCCCACTGTCCCACTGTACCAGTATGGTTTAGTTACCTGGTCTAAAGCTGCACTTTTTTAATCATCAGGTTCTTTACTCTATTGGGGCTATACTTGGGGATCCTATGAAGCTAAATCTACCGACCTTCAATCTAATTAGGCATTTTATTTCCAGAATGCTTGTGAAAAAGCATATCACTTTACCTGATATTACAGAAGTCTAGCTGGGCACAACACAAAATGGATATTGACAATAAATTGACATGGAACATAGAATTTTTTATTGTACCAACTGTAAGATGTTTGGGTATACCCTAAACAAATTTCACAGACTTCATCCTAACATGAAATCTAAAGCTTAAGTGCATAAGAATGGGTCTAACCCCACTGCTCTGGACACATCTGCTCCACATGTGGAGGAAATTACCAATTGGTGTCTGATTAAATTGCCCCTGGGACCCCCTGACAATACTATTTCTGTTTTTGCGATTGATGTGTTGTTGGATGGCTCTTCTGGGCAACCTACACCTACACCTACACCTACACCTACACTTTATTGAAAACAATACTGAAGAATCCTTACCTACAAAGGAAAATGTTCGGACCAATAATTAGGAGAGCCTTGCAGCTCCTCATCCTCAGGAAATATTAGGTGCAAAGGCGACAATTCATACTTCACATACACTAGAACCTATTGTGGTTACAATGGTTGACAATCTTTCTACTGCGGTTCTACCACCTCATCCGAACGAGCAAATCGCTACTGCTAGTCAGGCGCAAGGAACTCATCAGCTTATACATGCCCAACAATCTATTGACCAACACACTGATTAGATGTGTCAGTTTTCGGATGAGGAATAACACGTTTACACATCCAGGAGAAAGAAGAAGAATGGAGAACTACTTGACCTCAGAAATCTAATGGATGATACATTGGTTACTTCAAGTAATGACACACAACTCACCAATTTGTTAGCTGGCTCTCTTCCTAGAACTAGAGACAAAGACATGACTAAATTGGGTCGTCCCTAACTTTTAGCCCGTTTTGGCGGTTGTGGTTTTTCGTCTTACATGTATCTTTTCTTTTTTTGTGATTTTTGTGTGTTGTACCGTGTGGGTAAGGTATCTTTTTTGGGCTCACTCATACAACCTATCTGTATCTTTCATTTCAATCTTATATATATATATATATATATATATATAGAAAAAAGCCCAAAGACAAATATATTATACTGAAAAGATACATAAATGTTGTATGAGAGGGCTTAAAAGAAAGCTCAACTCACACAATACAACGCACACAAAACTCAAATAAAACAAAGATACATAAAAGTAAAAACTAAAAAACCACAAAAGGACGCAAAAGTGTTAGGGATGTCCCACTTTAGTCCTCCCTCTGCCTCTAGTTCTTGGAAGTGAGTCGGCTAACAAATTGGAAATGTGAGTACAATTGCCCGTAGTAACTAAAGTATTATCCATCAGATTTCTAAGCTCAAGTAGGTCTCCATTTTTCTTCTTCCTCCTGGATGTGTAGACCTGTCATTCCTCATCCGATTGACTCATAAAATCAGTAGATTCCAACGTTGGTCGGACAGGAGTAGGCTTTTGCACATCACGATCCCCAGGAGTCTGAGTAACATTAACAGCTTGCTCGACCTGATGAGACGGTAGTGAAGCAGTAGAAGTATTGTCACCTGTATTATCGGTGATATATAGGGCATGTGGGCTTAGAAGACTCACCCTCTCCCCCACGAAAAGAGGTTCCAAAGACGGGGGAGCTACAACTGGGGACTGAATAGTTGTTATATTGCCTGCGAGAATAGTGATATCATCCGGGGTACTCTTTTGATGATCAATAGTGTCAATAACTTTGAGCTGATAAGGAGGCCATAAAATAACTGCCTCTGGCGGAGCAGTATGATTTTTTTGTCTGAGTTGGGGTTGTAGATGGTGACATTGAGAACTAGAGTGATCGAACATACGACAGTTTAAGCAATACGAACGAAAAAACTCAATCACTACTTTTTGCCAATATCATTGATGTTGTGTGCCCAACCATATTTCCTCAGAGGCGGGTGAAGTAATGTCTCTTTCTACAAGTACTCTAGCTTCAAATGGACGGGAAAGATTAAAAGTAAAAAATGTCTGTTTTGACTGGCTTACCATAAGCTGAGGGAATAGCGTACAACACTTTTTGAGTAAAATAATGAAATTTCAGAACAGGAAGGCGAATCCAAACCGGAATGATTGGTGGTTCTGTCTGTGGGTCAAAATCCACAGTCCATTTCAGAATCTTCATTGCTCTGTTATTGATATAGATTATCCTTCGAGCAAATAATCGCGTGTAATCTTCTTCACTATTTAGTTGTCTAAGAACGTGTCTTCCATCTAACAGTCCAATTTTTCATTCCCCAACAAGATGCATAAGCTCAAACTCCTTACGAATCAACTCCATTTTGGGATGGTCATACAAAAGTTTCCGTCCAAATTCATTCGACAGGGGAAGCAAGTTGAATACCTACAGCTTCTATAAAAAGGATGACATGTTTTTTATTCTCCCTACCAGGTTTCTTGATGTCCTCCGCCCACTCAATGAAGGAGGGAAAAAACATGATTTAGGTATGTCTGAGGCGTGGACACCCCCAAGTGCAGCAACATACGATCTTTCAAAAGCCATGAAGTTGCAGCTTAGCAGAGTAGAGAGCCGAAACCCGAAACAGGGAGCAGGAGCGGAAGCCCCTGCTATCTCAGAGCAAATAGAAAGGAGCGGAACTCGAAACGAGCAGGAGCGGCGAAGCCCCTGCGATCAGCTCGAGCCCGAGGACGACGCAGGAGCACAGACGCAGTTGACGCAACCGACGCAGCTTGACGGACGCAGAGATGCACGAGCAGCAACGAAGCCGACGACGCACGTCGACAGCGGCGAACCTCGAGAGAGTTAGATCGATGAAGAGAAACCAGGGATCACCATGGAGAAACCCAAGCAGGGATGACTGTATATATATATATATATATGGACTCCAAAAGATTTTATAAGCACAAAACTCCAACAGTTACAAATCATAAAAAAAACGAATTCACGGAAAAAAAATTATAAAATATAAACATTTTCATACTAGAGAACACTTTTACTGAAAAGTGTTCACAAAAACAACCAAGAGAAGAACACCAAAAATACTAATATAAGATAAAATGTAAACATATTTCAATCCATTCTTCTCAAAGCACATATTGTGTTTCTAAGATAGTAGACATTCAATTGGCATCAATATCAAAAGTTCCAAAATTTTGATAGAAGAAAAATGGCTATCATAAATAAATAGAACAAGTTAGCCAGTATTACATGATGGAACAAGAGTGCATGAAGCACTATTTGTTATTATGGAAACACTATATGTAGCATGAATGCTGAATAAATCAATCCCACGTGAGAGAAAAGGCATGCGGAGAAAAAGGAGAACAGAGAAAGGAGAATGAACATAAAAGAGGTAGAAAAATGATGGTGAATCAACCAAATAAAATGAGATGATGCATAACAGCAATATAAAATTGTAATATGAATAATTAGCAAACACGAGCTCCATATGCAAAAACAAAATTATTAATATTCATAATAACAGGCTAACAGGACTTCAAGCTTCCAAAAAACATAAACATTTTACTAGGAAAAAAAAAGGGTCATGAAAAAGTTATTCCAGCAAGTTTGTGTGGGAGTTGAGATCGTGTGTGTGCTGGACACCAAAAACAAAGAGCATATCAAGCAACGTATAGCCATATAATAAAAGAACTTCAAATCACAAACCACCCAATAAAACAACCATGGAAAAACCTTATTGGAAGCAACAGGAACTAATGCATCTTACCTTGATGGAAGTTCCTCGGTAGTCTCCTCAATCTCTCTTAATGACTCTGATGGTTCTGTTGGGATTTCTTCACTATCAGGTTCATTTTTAAACCCCACAGACAAAGTAAAGTTGGAATCAAAACTTCCAAAACTTAAGCCACTTCTTTCAGACTCAGATACTTGCAAATGATCTGGAATAATGACATGTTTGGTGTCACAAATGAGCAAGTTCTCCAACTTCTTCTGTATCTTCGTAGCATTGTCAAGAACAATGGGGTTAACATCTTCCCCTGGGTGAAAGTCAACAACAGGGGTACTGAGAACTCCAGATACTGTAGAAGGGTTCACAGTTGTCGCCTTAGGTTTCCACTCTTTAGCAGGACCAGCTGATGAAAGATATATAATCCAATTAAAATATCAAATAAGTTACTCAAAGAAAACAGCAAAAGCAAAAATATAAAGACCGTAAGAAAGAAAAAACAGCTTTAGAAGATGAATGGCATTTCTGAAAAAAACTTTTCAATACACAGCATTATAGATTGTTTAGACCTGTTAGAGTCCAAATAGCATTAAAGAGTAATAATCCAAAAAGTTTTCAAGTTTTCTACCAAGCTGAATCTAGATAGAAGCCGCTCACAATACAAAGATGCATAAATTTTCCCACAACTTTGGAATATACCTTGAAGTTTTAGCTGATGTAACAGCTTTTGGGTTATAATATTAAATGTTGGGGTCTATCCATAAAGGTTTAGGATTAGTCTATAAAACGGTGCAAACATTTTCAAGCAAATATGAGTGAACACACTGTTAACAAATCAAAGGTCAAATAATCACTTGTTGAATATCATAAGATTATGATTGGGAAAGAGGAAAATATTTGCTAGAGTAATCCTACACTACCAAAATATAATCCCAAAGGTTCTGGGATTTTATTGATTCTAATGCATTGTGATGTAAAATTGAAGTGGATGTTCATTGATCCGATAATAAAGTGTGAAAGTATTTCATGCATGCTGTGTGATGAGTGGGAATTGAAGAAATTAATTTATGTTGATTTCTTTTGAGGGTGAAGCATTACTCTATCAGGCTTTAGCATTGCAGTAAGTTTATCTTTCAGTATGAATAAAAAAATAATATTTATTATTGGATCCAGCATTTCATTGAATATAGAATCCTTAGCAATAACCTTAGAACATGACCATATGGTACTTGACATCTAAAATAATCATAATTTCAATTATGCGCTTCCTACAAACACAACTAATATTCACGTTTTGCTGCTCCTCCCAGCAGCTCAGTTCTCCAGCATCAATAACATGAGAATCATTAAGAATTTTTTTAAATGCCCACTAACCATCAAACTAACTGTGCTGCCCACATGTCGGTAACTTTATCTTCCCTTTTTTTCCTCCAACCTTGTTAGGGTTTCCTCCCTCTTCCTGGGCAGTTCATAGCTCCTAAGCCATCTACATCATCACCTAAGCAAGGAGAGACTACAAGAAACTACATCTATAAGTCTTGCAGTGTAAGACTATGAAGATAAATGGGCGACAAATTAATTCATGCGTGTAAGGGTGGGCAGGTGCGATACATTTAGTGTTATTAAAAGAACTAGGTTCTCCCAAGATTATATAAGTTCCTAATGCGGTTCCTAAAGCGCAAGTTGTTAGGCGCTACAATCAACTATTTTGATTATGAGAAATACTTTTAGAGAGTATACTATGGCAATCATCACATTAAAATATTAAATTACAGTAAAAGTTTTTTTTTCAAATGTTAAATCTGTATATTAAAATGAAAACTTAGTTGAACAGATGTCTGAAACAACATTCCTGTAAGGCCCCAAATAATGCTTAAATTTTAAAGAAATGTGTAAATTAAGTATGTCGTTTCTAAAGCCAAAGCTGCCACAGCACTGTATTTGAAGCACTCCAAGTCTTATGTTGTTTTCACAATCTTGTCCTCTTCATCATCAAGGTATGTTATAGTAGAAAGGAAAGCTCTTGTACCTATATTTGATTTAGCTAGCTTCCTAATCATTGTTTTTTTCATTTTGTAATTGAACTCTTGGAATTTTGTTACACCATCCCATATTAAGGAAGTAAAGCATTACTTTGTTTGGAATGGCTAGAGCTTTTTGTAAAGAAAATTGTAACGGTTTTTTAGAAAAAGCAACTTCTTCAAATGCCATTATGGGTATTTTAAATATTGTTTTCTTTAAAAAAATCAGACCGCAACTTTCCTATAGCTATCACGTTTTAATAAGTTTGGTTCTAAAAAACAACTTCACTATAGAAATTTTTTAAAAACAAAAAGAAAACAGTAGCCAAACAGAGTATGATAGTGATCTGCAAAGCAAAGTAATGAAAAAACTTCCCAAACAAACTCCAAATCTTCATCATCAAAACACCATCTTTAAAATTTGAGATATTATCAATCATCTCTCCAACAGGCCACTCATTACTATCATCAATGCCATGAAAAAAAGATCAAATCAATGGCATGCTGCATCTCATGACGAACCTTAAGGGCTTGATCATACTTCACAAAAACTAGATCATGCAATTCTTCATAACTCAATCAATGCATAGAAAAGACAATCCTCAAACAGTTTATCATAATTTATTAGTGTAATATAAATTCTTTCTCATAATAAAAAAATTGCACTACAAAGGCACATTCGTCATTGCATATCGCCATACAAGAGATGCTCACCAGAGTGGCACCTAAGCAAAAGTGCTAGCCAAGGAAAGGTGTGAGGTGCTAGAGCCTCACCTCACTTCAGCGCCTAGTTGTAATAGCATTTGATTTATGTCCATTAAGTTTTAGACTTGTTTATGTGTGTTTTAAATATGTAATAATGGACGAGCCTTGTCTCTCCTTTTCAAATAATAATTTTTTACGGCAAATGTTTAATTCTTGAGTCTATAAAAGAATAGCAGGTCTTATTTTTGGGAGTTATTACACGATGAATTAATTGGGAATTGAAAGTTCTCATAGTGGCAACTCTTATGATTCTCCCCCAATAGAGTTTCTCTTCGCATTTTCATCTCTCACTATCAAGACATTACTTTCAGTTAATTCTTCAATCTTTCTGTCTCTCAACATCATTGCTTCTCTTATTTCAAAATCTTCAACTTCCCAATAAGTTGCTGCTATCAATTTGATATAGAAGGCAAACCACAATTCATTCACCTCGTTTACATCCCCTTTGACCATATCAACAGTATAGCCATCATGGTTCCATGATCGCCTGCAAGTCTACATCACATCTTGTTCATCATGTCTAATCATCCTCTCCTTTTATTTTAGCTTGCATCTCCATTGCTCACCTATCCTAAAGCTTACCATCATGTGTCACTCTTACCTCTCGTGTCCATCCGTATGACCAATAGTCCATGCTTTGCCTCATGCAACAATTTATAAGCTTCCTTGCTCAACCATCATCATCATAAAACTTGTGCCAAGCTCATACAAACATCACAAAATTGACATTCCGACAGGTATATGCTCCACTTGCAATTGCATCTTTGCTTATTCAGCTCGTTGAACAGCATGCCCTCATTCACTTGATTATGGTTTTGAATTGCTCATTCTTACCCACTGCATTCACCTCACGATTATGTTAATACAGATCATGCATCATGCCCACCCCCTTATCTTTCGCTTGCTCAATTGCACCAGCAACACAACTCTCTTATCACATTGAGCACCTACAAGTCCCTCAGATGCCCGCAACAATTTTTACTGTAGAATTCTAGAAAAGATTTTTACTTCTTGTTCACTCTAATGCATTACATTCTATATATATAAAATAGTGAAAGGAAAAAAAAAGAATCCCTCCAAATAGAAAAGAACAGATATTAGAAAACATAAATAAAAGAAAAGACCATTAGTGGAATAATATCGGAGGAGGAAGCCCAAATCACAAAAGAAACACAAATATTATTATTGAAATTGATATCCTGTTAAAACGGCGACTCACAAAAACTCACAACAGAAAAACGAAAGAAAAACGGAATAAAACCCAAATCTTGCAATGGCAAGGAGGGAAGGTAGCGGCTGGTGTGTGTGGAAGGAGGGGAGGTGCAGCTGCAGGTTTAGGGAGGTTGGGGAAAGTGGGGCTACAGGTTTTGGAAGGACAGCAGTTGGAGTTGGGAGGCTGGGAAAGCGGGCTGCAGTTGTTGAACAGACAGCTGTAGGTGTTAGGAGGCTGGGAAAATGGACTGCAGTTGTTGGAACGGCAGCTGGGATGTTGGGAAGCTGGGAAAGCAGGCTGCAGGTGTTGGAAGCACAGCAGGTAGGTCTAGGGAGAGGCGGGAGTGGGGAGGGGGGAGGTGGGCTGCAGGTTCTTGGAAGGACAGCTGTAGGTTAGGGGGAGGATGGGAAGGCTGCAGGCGTTGAAATCAGGAGAGATCTGGTTGTGGCTGGCCTGGTGCGGGACAGACGATACGACAGCAGGGAGAAGGATAGCAGAAATCTGGCGTCACACTGGAAGCAGTCCGGCAGGTCTCGAATAGGGAACTAGACAAGGGAGCGCGCAGGGGAGAAATCGTCGAGCTTTTAAGAGGGAAATACAGGGTGGAGAAGTGCTGGAAGGTGGACGGCAGAGAGCAGATGTTGGGTTGTCGGCTGGGAGGCAGTAGAGGGCAGCAGAGAGATGCAAAGGAAGGCGGGCAGCGAGCGGGGGACGATGGCAGCAACCAACAAAAGGAAGATACAGGCCACCTCAGAGCAGGATACAATCGGAGCACCGCCTATGGTGAGATATAACCCTCCCAAGGAAAGAAAACTTCATACAAAAAATCTAGAAGGGAAAAACAACCAACAAAATCTAACCCTTCGGGGGTGGGGGAAGAGAATTCCCGCCAAATGAAAAGAGAGAGGCGGCTTATTAAAACCTATCCCTTGCTGAACTAGATTGAACCAGTTCAAACCTTAGTCCCCGCATCATGAAATATAGTTTGAGAGAAGAAAATAAATTCCTCCCTAATATGGATTTGTACTTTCCTACACTTTCCCTCAAGCTAGTTTGTATATATTGTACAAATTAAGCTTGGGCTTCAAATTATTATGACTGTACCTTGGTAATGCTTTGGTAAGAATATCTGCAATCAGAAGTGATGTGAAAACATAATTGAGTTGAACAATTTTATTGTTAACTTTTTCTAAGATGAAGTGTCTGTCAATCTCAATGATTTTTTTTCTATCATGATACACAAGATTTTTGGCTATATTATCACTAAACAACTTAATTGTATCTTTCGTCTCAATATTAACTTCCCTTAATAGCCTTCGAATCTACACTCACATATCCTTAGTGCAAGAGCACAATATTTAAATTATGCATTACTCCGAGAGACAACAACTCGCTTTTTTGCTTCTC